TTTTATTTTCACATTTAAAATTTACTTTTTTTTAATACAACTAATTGCCCCTAGATGATGATAATCAAAAGATATTTTTCCAAAAAATAGACAAATTTTTTTGAATTTATTTTTTTTAATGTTGTCCAAATAATGTCGTATTCAGAAAAAAAAAAATTTTATTTAAATGTGAACATAAAAAACTTTAAATTGTATTAAATAGCATCTTAGAATGATTATGACCATGTAGAAGCTAATTTCTTGATCATATGGATCAATGGTCTAAACGATGGGTAAGTATATACATTGTATGCATGTTCGAACCTAATCTTCATCCTTACATATTTCCATTTAGACTAGTCTGGACTCGTCCATTACACACAAGACTGCAACTTGTCCTATGTACCGTCCCTGACGTCCTTACTTTTTCAGTTTTAAACTCATTTTGGACGGGCGTCGCTGTCGTCCGTCCTGACTAGTCTTTCTCTCAAAAAGTCCTCGTCCAGGACTAGTTTGCACAATAGATCATAATGTTTCGTATAAATCGACTCCAGACAAGTCCTAGACTACGTCTTCTAAAAAAAAAGACTAGACTAGACACGTATAATGTCGCCCGTCAATCAGGTAATTTAGACGGGACTTCATGACGGCCAAAAATTCCGGACTAGTCATGTCATAGTCGAATTTGAGACAAAGACCGGGCATGACGGGTCGACATGACTAGAAAAAAGACGAGTCTGTTAGCCCGTCTCTTGCTCACTTGGGTATGGAAGAAGGACTAGAAATTTTCTCATTCAGGATACATAATACAAAAAATGCTTACTATGTACATTTGTATTTTACTACTATTAGAGTTATTCAAATAGGTTAGAATTAAGACAGAGTGACATGAAACCGCTATCAGACAGGCTATTGAGACCCTCGGGTTCTAGTCATCGTATGGAAAAAGAAAAGAAATATATTGTATCCATCTCTACTTCATAAAACGTATTGATCGTATTAATTAATACTTGCTGATATATTCACTCTCTCAATAATTACACAAAATAAACTACAGCGTAATACTGTATCGATATACAGAATGATTCTTTTTTGTTTGTGGATTTCCGATATATCTATGCAAATTTTATAGCTTGCAAGGAGAAATCTATAATTCTATTCTGCATACATCCTATTGATAACTAACCGTTTTGCTACAACAGCACGTGTTTTTACAATCGGTAATTTTTGACATATTACAGTTGCTGGTCGATTACAAGATTTTTGATCACATAAAATTGATGGTGGAGAGTCAGATGAAAAATCAATGTATACACAACTAGTTTGCTGCGTTTTTAATGGATTTTTCTCATTCTTTAATAGACTTAATGTTGGTATTGATGTTTGATGACGTTGATGAAATGTTCTATCACACAAAGTATGAAGATCATAAGGATTATATATACTTGTTGAAGAACTTTCATCGGTTGTGTTGTATCCAATAGCAGTACGATTTCGGTGGTCATAAAAAATATCAACATGTACAACTCCAGATGATGTGTAACTGTGTCGACGTAAAAGTAAAAGTTTTATCAAGGGTAGTATCGTAATTTTTTCAGGTGAAAATAACTTAGCATTATCACGTTCACATTCAGCTTTTGCATCATTCCAAGTAGTTTCATGAAAGAATACTTTATAACAAAGACCGTTCATCAAATGATAATCTGTTTTATCAC